ATTTAAAAATAAATATTTTTTAGAAACAATAATATTTATCTTAGTTCACAGGGTGGGGGGACTTGCAGGCAGCAATATATGCAAAGAGCCTAAATGTCTGGGGAAGACAAAAAGTGCTTTGGACAAGAGAGGCTTCATTATTCAAACATGGTAAGGGCACCTGGTCAGGAGACACCTGTCAGTCTGCTACTCAGTCCCCAGAAAAGGTTCTATGTCACCTCACACTGATGTAAATGGAGTTCTTGATTGGTCTAGATCATAAAAAGCTGGAGTGAGATACAGAGGGAATGCTGAGAGATGAGAAAGAAGAAGCAAGCCACAGCACACCTCACCTCCTCAGCGTCTCAGTAGACGAGAGCGGTTTCCTGTTTCCCCTGCTGATATCCTGTTTCTGCCCAGCTACCTCACTTCCTGTCTGTCAGACCTCCAGACCTCTATGGTCAGCTAGTGGCACGCTCCATTCTCTGACCCCCAGACAGGCTTTATTTGTACAAGAAAGATACCGCCACACACTGGGCCACACCATGCTACACTCTAGGGAAAGCATCACGGACTATCTAGCAACAGGGAGCAACAGGTAAATCTGGGAAGGTGTTTGCCTCAGTTAGGGTTTCTATTACTGTGATAAACACTATGACCAAAGGCAACTTGTGGAGGAAAGTGTTTATTTCAGTTTATAGCTCCACAGCACCCCATCACTGAAGAAAGTCAGGGCAGCAGATCAAACATGACAGGACCCAGAGGCAGGAGCTGATGAAGAGGCCATGGAGGGGTGCCATTTCCTGGCTTGCTCCTCATGGCTTGCTCAATCTGCTTTCTTAGAGAGCCCAGAACCACCAGCCCAGGGATGGCCCCACCCACAATTGGCTGAGCCTCTTCCATCAATCACTAAGTAAGAGAATGCCCCACAGGCCTGCTCAGAAGTCAGTGTAGCAAGGGAGTTTTCTCAGTTGAGGTTCTCTCTAGCCTGTGTCAAACTGATGTAAAATCTAGCCATCCAGGTGTTTTACCGTAGTTTTCATGGCAGGAGATGGGCCAGGAGGGATAAGCAGGCTATATAGGTTAAATGTTGGATATTTGAAACTGCAGATTATTCTACCGGACGCTGAGGTCCAAGCCTTTCTTGTCCTTGACCCTGGGATAATTAAGTCAGTTAAAGATGAAGCAAAAGACACCTCAAAGGAGTAAGAGATAATTTATTTGGTACCAAATATGAGTGATCATAGCCCAGGAAAATGGATTCAGTTTGCTCTGTAGAGTGGTTGCAAGAGCTTTTATTAACAACAGAGCAAAACAAAGTCATAAACCAAGGCATTTACCAAATATCCTGGTAAGGGAAGCTAGTGAACAACCTAAAGCTAAACACAGGTGGACTCTGCCATGGATTTCAGATGCTGTCTGATGACTGGTAAAGTCAACAATCTACTAACAATATGTTCCAAAGGTTTTATCTGATAATCACAATAATGTTAGGCCATACACAGAGGTAGGCATGAATGACTATTAAGGGAACCAAAACCAGGCCAATAATGTGACTCTGGGCCTGCAACACTCCACAATGACAAAGTTTTGATCAACCAGCCTTCAGTGGAAGTAGAGCTTTTTCTAGAAACTTCAGAAAAATGTTGAACTAAATTCTTTCAAAACTAATTTTATTTTATGTATATGTGTCTGTATGTCTATATTTGCATGAACATGTGGGTGTCCATGGGAGTCAGAAGAGAGTATCATATCCCCTAGAACTGGAGTTATAGGCAGTTGTGAGATGTCTGGTGTGACGATTAGGAACAGAACTTAGATCCTCTGCAGGAACCTCAAATGTTCTTAATCACCACAGCATCTGTTCATGCCCTGAGCATCACTTTTGAGGCAGAATGAATGTTGAGGAAAAAATTATTTTAAATGAACTCCTAGGCGTTTGTCTGAACAATTGAATGGCAACTGGTTATTTACTAGATGGGGAAACTTAGAATAGGAACAAGTCATTAGTCACAGGAAGGTGGAAAGCGCTCTGCAGATTCTAAAGGGAAAGAGTCAAAAATACAAGAATTCAAGGCCAAACTTGTGTGTTTGGAAGTCACAGACACTTAATAATGTTTTCAGAATGGACAAGGGGTCAGATGTTTCAGTAATGTTGAAATGTTGAGTAAAATGAAGACTGAAAATTGATCATTGTGTTTTACAACATGGTGATGTTAATAATTGTAGAATGATAGGGAGAGAGAAAAAACTGGGATGAGAGAGAGAAACACAACCAGAAGCAGTACCGCATCCGCATAGCTCTTACACTTGGAAGGTTAAAGCAGAAAAATCAACACAAGCTCAAGACCACTCTAGTCCACATAGTAACATAGCAAGACCTATGGGAAGATGAGTAGGCACAGCAAGTGTCCTACACTAGGATGCCCAACTACAGAGCATCAAAGATTAAGGGACCAACCAGGCTACATCAGAAAACACCTCTCTTCATCACAGGGTTGCTTATGCTTCTAATGTCATAAAATGACTGGTAAAACACTGGGATTCAGTGCAGGGTGGAGTGGAGGGATGGGGGAAGAGGAAACAAACCAGCAGAAATACAGATGTGAATAATTATAAAGACGTGAATTGTGTTGGGGTTAATGGTTGATGGCATGCATCCTGGAAGAAGCGACTGAAGGCAGAGGCTCCAGTCTTCCTAATACCATGGGTTACATTTAGATTGTACACATGGGTTTTAAAACAATTGATTTGGAGGGGAAACTTGGAAAACAATCCACACAGAAAAATCACTGCATTTTTTTTTCAACAAAATTATAGCAAAAATAAGATATGTACCACTAGAGAAGTGTTTAAATACTGATTTATGTAATAGTTCCCAAACACTACTTGCATCTATGAACATAATATTTACATTAGGTATTGTGCCTGAAAAGTAGCTAACAGGCCAGATATATAAGGTACATGATACTCCCAGCACTTGAGAGGCAGAGGCAGGTGAATCCCTGTGAGTTTACAGCCAGCCTTAACTCCATAGCAAGTTCCAGGACAGCCAAGGCTATACTGTGGGTCCTTGTCTCAAAACAACAACAAAAACAGGTAATGCTGAAAATTCTTATATGAAAGATGAGAAGTGTTTCATGACCAATTATGCCTTCTTAGTGTCAACTATTTCAGAATAAGAGTTGCTAGAAAGTCTAGAATGGGCATGCATGGATCGCTGTGTGGTCAGCTTAGACACTTGAGTGGCAGATAACAGACGGACTGTGTCTAAGAAGAAGGGAACAGAAGCCGACCATCAGCACAGAGAGGTGAGCCAGCCCTCAGGAAGTCCAGGTGCTCACCACCTCCAACATCTCAAAACCTCAACTTCCGCTTGCATTCTTACTGTTCAGACACTGACTCTATCTGGAAGCAGTTCCCTGAGTTACACTTGGATGCATCTGGGTGTGTTTCCAATCCACATGTCTCACACCGTCATTACTCATCTAAAGTAACTCACGTTTATCTTACTCTTTCCATCTCAAGACATTTTCTAAATATCACCCTATACTTTCTCCACCCTTTCCCTGGCTCATCTAACTTCAACTCCTTCCTGACCCTTAGGCAATGTCCCTGACCTGAATTGGTACAGAAAGACACTCAATTGGGCTATAAAACACAATATAAACTCTTATGGAGGGTAATTTGGCAAAGTATTCCAAAGGCATTTTTACTCAGCAATCCTGTTTCTGGGAATTGTACTAGAAAAAGTGCAGGTAAATATTCAGATATGGGTGAATACATTTATCTCAATGTCCATGACAAAAGTTAACTGCAATGGCAGTGCATTTCTATAGATTATAGAATACTCATGCTGTATTCTACAACAGAAACATTGAAAGTACTCTCTAGGAGTAATGGCACAATGTCAAACGTTCAATAGAATAGAGACTAGCAAAACACAGTTTAGACAATATAATATTATTTTTAATTTTTATGAACATGATTCTATATAAATGCAGAGCAAAAGCAGATAGCCATAATTACCGGAAGACATTATTAACATTTGTTGATATATTTTCTTCTGTATGCAAATTTCTTGCAACTAACAGAGTTCCTTTTTTGCAAAATGGGAAAGAAACTCAACACTGTTTCCAGGTCTTCATTTATGCGGTAGCCATATTTTCCCAGCATCTACTTCTCCCACCTGAAAGTAATAGCTGAAGGCTTTGTGAACATTCAAGAACTGGCTTTCCAAGAAAAAGAAGGTGTGCTAAATCCCTACAAACAACACCCAAAGTGGACACCAGGTGAAAATAGTGAGCATTTTTTGCAAGAAGCAAGTATCATTTCAAGACCTGAAAGCCATCAGACACCAGACCTGAAGGGGTGAGGGGTCTGAGATCTGTGCTCCACCTGAGAACAAAGGAGGAAATGAAAATCACTTCTTTCAAGACAATTGGGGGGGGGGATGTTAAGTAGAGAACACCAACAACTTGGGAAGGACCAAGTAGAAGAGATCAATCAGGAGACAATTGGATAGACCAAGCCTACAACAATACCAAGGAGACTAAGCAGCTGAACTTGCAAGCCAAACCAGCTACTACCTGTCCTTTCCCTTCACTGCACACGTGAAAGATGTCAGGGAGGAAGGCATACAACAAGGACTCACTGGGAGAATCAGGAAAATGGATGTCTCAAGAGCATACCCCAGGAAGACACAGAGCCTCAGCCATGACCTGGAATTACATCATCACACAAGGTTATCTCAGCTGCCTTCTGCTCCAGTGTGTTTGCTCAACTCTGCTCTTACCATGAAGCCCACTCAAGCTCTTAAGACCAGGTCCTGGGAGCAGAGCTCTGAACAATACACCTGTGTCTTGGATGTTCACACCAGGTGAAACACACAATGTGCAACGGACTATGCTGCACATGTGCAACTAACCCCATAGACTACCTCTCAGGGTCTCTCAGTTCCTTGAGAATGTCCAGCTATCAGAACCTTGGCTCCAGGGTCTTGGGAGGAAGGTGAAGTATGATCAAGGACCACAAAGATATCTCTTCATGAGCCGCTTCATGGCGCCCGTGACCTCCTTATTCCTCAGAGTGTAAACAAAAGGGTTGCACATAGGGGTGACAACTGTGTAGAAGATGGTGAGAATCTGGTCTGTGTCCCCAAAAGAATCTGCCTGAGGCCTCATATAGGCAGCAGTCGCAGTCCCATAAAAGAGTATGACCACAAACAAATGGGAGGAGCAGGTAGAAAAGATCTTTTGACGTCCCTGGGATGTTGCAACACCAAGGATAGCAGCAATAATATAGGCATAGGAGGCCACAATCAACAAGAAGGGCACAAAGATAAAAGCTGTTGTAATGATAAGTTCTGCCACTTCAGCCCAGAACGTGCTTGCACTAGCCAGGCTCAGCACAGGCAGGATGTCACATAGGAAGTTATGGATGGTGTTGGCACCACGGAAAGGCAAAGTGAAGATGAAGACAGAGTGAGAGGTGCCAGTGATGATGCCTGCAAGATAAGAGACTCCCACCATGCCCACACATGCTCTCTGGTTCATCATGGTGGTATAATGCAGTGGACAGCAGATGGCAGCATATCGGTCATAAGCCATGGCAGTGAGCAGACAGCATTCGGCAATGCCAAAAAGGGCAAAGAAATATAGCTGAGTGAAGCAGCTGGCACGGGAGATGGTGGGGCAGGAAGACCGGAGGTCAGCCAGCATCCTAGGCACAATGGTCGTGGTGTAGAGGATCTCCACCAGCGAGAAGTGCCGAAGGAAGAAGTACATGGGGGAGTGGAGGGCTGAGTCCGCCAGCGTGAGGAGGACGATCAGAGAGTTGCCCAGCAAGGTGACCACATACATACACAGCACACCCCAAAACAGATGGCCCTGGACAAACACAAAACCTGAGAACCCCAATAAAATGAACTCTGTTATGTCTGTACCATTGTCGCCTCCCATTTCCCCTAAGCCAGATTAGAGAAAAAGGGAGCCAGATAGGGATAACCAGCGAGAAACAAAACCTTCAGCAGCAAGGATGAAGATTCCTCTGTGAGAGCAGCCCTGCTCACTGTGGAGGATACTGAGAAGGATCCTGAAGAGGATGCTGAGGAGGATTCTGAAGTGACACAGAGGAAGATGCTGAGGAGGATTTTGAGGTGGATGTTGAGGAGGATGTTGAAGAGGATTCTGAGGAAGATGCTGAGGAGGATTCTGAGGAAAATGCTGAGGAGGATGTTGAAGAGGTTGCTGGGGAAGATGCTGAGGAGGATTCTGAGGAGGTTGCTGAGGAGGATTCTGAAGAGGATGCTAAGTAGGATGTTGATGAAGATTCTGAGGAGGATTCTGAGGAAGATGCTGAGGAGGATGCTGAGGGGGATGCTGAAGAAGATGCAGAGGAGGATGTTGAGTTTAATGAGGAGTATTCTTGGGAAGATTCTGAGGATTCTGACGTGGATGTTGAAGAAAGTGTTGAAGAAGATGCTGAGGAAGATGCTGAGAACTCTGGCTGCTGCTGACTCCCACCCAGAAACCACAACTCAGGAAGAGGAAGAAAAAACAGAAAAGATTGTTCCTCTTACACAGGCAGGAGCTAGGAGCAAAAAAGCTGGGAACAAAATCAGGTTCCTTCATGAAGGGGGTTGAGGATGTGGACAGAAAAGTGTGTGAGCAGACAGAAGACAAAAAATCTGGTAGAGGAAAAGTATGTCCACCCTGAGGCAGAAAGTGAGGGGGAATAGGCTAGGGCAGGAGACAGGAACACAGAGCTAGACCACAAAGACCTGAGGAGCTTTTACCTGAAGATGGATCCCCGCAGCCCTCAGAGGGCCCCTCCCTGGAGCACATCACAGCAGTTCAATCCCCTGAAGAGCTAATTCTCAACAGAGGGACGAAGTGGAGGGAGATGGGAAAGAAGGAGAAGCAGCGGGGAGGTGGCTTCCTCCTCATTGTCCCTAACACCAAGCTCCCTTAGTTGGGCCTGCGTCTGGAGGGTCCTCCTCCTCACAGCCAAGCACAAAGGGGAAACCACGTGTGGAGATGGATGGTGTGTACAGAATAAGCACAAAGAGAGCAGGGCTCAGAAACCTGGTGCTCTGACCCTTTGGAGAGTTCATCTGGGTGGGATTGCCAGCCATTGCCCCAAGGGCTGCAGAAGCCTTTCCCACCCTCAGAATTAGTCCTTAGCATTCTTCCCATCCCATTGCCGAATTGCGCCCTCACAGGGCTCCAATGTCATCACTATGTTTCATGATCTTGTCATAATGTGACCACACAATGCTCCCTGTGATGTCATAGTGATCAGCTTAATATTTACAATGCTACATTTTGACATCATTAGTCCAGCATAACCAATGCCCATTTCTGGCCTCTAAGGGTATCTGAGCTCACATAAGCATACCCCCACATAATTAAAAATAAAAATAGAAAGAACTTTCCATTTATAAACTTTATTTTTTTTAATGGCCTAGTATTCAATATGTAGACTACATGGGCCTTAAATTCACAGGGATCTGCATATCTCTACCTTCCAAATGTTTGGAGTAAATTTGTGTGCCGTGAAGAGCCTTTTAATATGTTTAGAATTGGAGAGATGTCTCAGTGGATAAAAGCACTTACTCTGTCAGAGGACCCAAGTTCAGTTCCCAGCACCCATGCCAGCAGCTTTCAACCACCTGTTATGTCAGCCCCCAGGAACCTAATGCCCTTTTCTGGCTCCCACGGATGTACACACACACACACACACACACACACACACACACGAGAGAGAGAGAGAGAGAGAGAGAGAGAGAGAGAGATCTAAGTAATTTGGCACAGGTTAATCGATTATGAGCAAGCAAAGAGCACTTTTTCTCAGCCAACTTGTTGGCAGACTACAAATTATGGTTACAAAGAAAGAATCAATCACTTCATTAACTATTTTGAGAGGTAATCTTAAAAGGAATTTTAAAGTAGTCACAAACGTAAACGTTTATACATATAAAACAGTCAGCTGAATTTTGAATCTTTAGGGTGCATACCCATCCATCAATAGTTCCTCATATCAAAAAATTGACGTCAGGAATGGGTACAGTTGGCGGCAATCAGGCTATTTTGTATTTTCAACCCTAGCCTAATGAATCAGACAGCTCAGCTATGTGCCCTTGTGAGCTTTAGATTGTTTTCTGGGATTAATTGCCTTAAAACCGTTAGCAAGGCATCTGATCTAACCTGAAGTTATTTTGAAGCTTTGTTTCAGCTGACCGTGCATGCCGAAACCTGTGACTGCATCTTTTCAGCCTGGCTCCTGGGGATTCAATTGTCTTCCTTAATCATTAACCTGAGCTATGATTGAAAGCAGCTCCTTAAGGGAACTCATAAGCCTTAGCTGTGAAATGTATCCTTGTATTTATTTTTATTCGCCAAAACTCTATATAAGCTAACATTATTATTACCAATGAGACAGTACAACTTAGGGGAATGTCATCTTCTTGGTGATCTACAGATTAAGATGCCCAGTAGAATGGAATGGTTCCATGAGATAAACATACTACATTACAGACAGTGGGAGTCTCTCCACATCCACTCACACCGTGCTAGGTACCAGAGAAAGATGGCAGCAGCAAACATCTAAAGGAATGGCAGAAGCAAAAGACATTCAGGGGTCTGTAGTCCCATGGCTTGCCTAAATGAGATTCACCCATCTTCCTTCTGGTGGGCTGACACATTGAACTTCAATTGTCACCTGCTGCTCCTCTGACGTGGCCACTGGTAATCAATGGCTAAAAGAACCGAAGATTATTCTATCACATCTAATATTTTTCATAACTTAACTCATGGGGCAAAACAGGGCTTTTAAACTTCAATGAATCTTAATTTGGAGTAGTTACCTGATTTTTAGTATGGCAATACTTTTTCTAAGAGTCTGGGTTAAGGTTGACATTCTAGGAACAAAAGGTTGTACTGTGTTCAGCACATTTTCAAATCATGTAGAAAGAATATGAAAAAGAGAGAAAACACACATAGGTGAACTCAAAATGGTGTTTGGATTTTTTTATTATTTTTTTCCACATTTCAAATAAAAGTTCAAATGCATATGTATACACACACACACATATATACACATCTCTCATATATACATATATATACACCTCTCATATATATAATAAATGTTCAATATATAGGTGATACATTGAACATACAGTAGTGAAAATAGTACATGAAATATTTCCACAAAAAGAGGTTTGCACAACAGGTCACAGTGTGGTCCTTCCATTGTCATCGTCTCAGCTCCAGCCTCTCTCGCAAGGTGGCCTAACAAGTGTCAGAATTGCGCTAAAAAAATCTGGCAGACAAATGTCCCCTCTGCCAGGCCCCAGACCCCTGCTTTTTCTATCTTTTATCAGATCCCAGGGGGATAATGTCAATTTTGGGGGAACCATTGTTTTAATGGTCTGATGGCCTAAAGGAGGGACACGGGTCTCTTCTTAGAGTACTTTAGCTCCAGCTAGAATGATTGCTCTACAACCAGTTAGGCAGCACATCCCTGATGTCCCCAAGGCAAGGATTCCCTGAGTGCCAAAGAGCAAAGGACAAGATATGCGGAAACACAGGACAAGGCCCCAGGTGTTTAGGAATGTTTGCTCACTCACAGGACAGTCATTCTCACCTCAAGTGTGATGGTTTTCCCACACATACCCTGTAGGCAAGTGAGGCAGTGTCTGAGACATGCACTGGTGGAGAGACATGGCAGAAGTCACGGAAAGGGGACTGATGAGCAATATTAAAACAGAAGGGACCAGAAGCTATTAGCCGACACCACAGAGGTTGGAAATGAACATGTCAGCCACAGCTCATCCCTGGCGCGGTAGAGTTTTGTCTAAGATGCTGATGAAGATATGGTTGGTGCCTGAAAACAATTAGTGTCACTTTCGAGAAAACAGGGGTATGTAACTGCACACATAATCATGGCCTGGAATTTCCTTATTCTTTCTGTAGCAAGAGTGGGTGGATTTTAAGGCAGTTCTGGTTGCATAATCCTGTGTCTCGACCTTGTAGCTGAGTTGGTCCCTTAGAGAAGTTCTGTAGAATTCAGACCCATTATTTATAGAATTCAGTTCCAGTATTTAAAGTTTTCTATGAGCCAGACCTAGCAATCAGCTTGCCTTGATATTAACACCAAAGACCATCTTTTTTGTCTCATATACTCTATGAAGTGACCAAGATTTAGTTTAAGGTCAGTTTTAGGACAAGTCACTCTACCTACACTAATTTTTTTATGTGCATTGGTGTTTTGCCTGCATGTATGTCTGTGTGAATGTGTCAGACCTTGGAGTTACAGACAGTTGTTAGCTGCCATGTGGGTGCTGGGAAATGAACCCGGGTCTTCTAGAAGAGCAGTCAGTGCTCTTAACCACTGAGCCATCTCTCCAACCCCTCAAGTATCTATTTTGCATCTGTCTTAAGACAACTTTATGAGTAAGCTGCTTCAACTTACAAAAGTCTTATAAGATGTCCTTCTTTTGATTATTCTACAACAGTGGTTCTCAACCTTCCTAATGCTATGGCCCTTTAATACAGTTCCTCATGTTGTGGTAACCCCCAACCACAAAATTATGTCATTGCTACTTCATAACTATAATTTTTACACTGTTATTAACCATAATGTAAATACTTTTGGAGGCAGAGGTTGCCGGAGAGGTTTAAACCCAAATGTTGAGAACCCTGTTCTAGAGGACTTTGTGTGTGTGTGTGTGTGTGTGTGTGTGTGTGTGTGTGTGTGTGTGTATTCCTTTACAACATGGTTTATATATTGCCATTGAGGCATATATAAAATTCAAAGAAGGCTTCATTGCATTGGCATACTAAGGAAGTTTTTAAAGTATCTCATATCTACAACTTGCCTTGCAGTTATTTTATATGCATCCACATTTTCTTATGAGAGATCATCTAGTGACAGAATGTGACCCTTTTGAAAAAAAGCA